CCGGATGTTGCCCAATGCCAACCCTGCTGATGATCAATATCAGATTTGCTCATTTTTTTAAAGGAACGATTTTAAGAAACTTTTCGACTGGTAATTGGGAATTGGAAATTGGGAAGAATCTCATCCTTTACTCATCAGTCATTTTCAAAATCAGTTAATCAGTTCCTCAAATTTCATCTCTGCATGACCTTGGTATTCATTACTCGGGCGATGCAATTTATTTACTACTCCATTGTAAAAAGGAATATATTCAAATAATAAGAACATATAATCATCATGAATATTATATACAGCAATTATAGAGACAAATACATTTACATTCATTCAAGGAAAGGATTAAATGACAACAGAAAAGATAAGTAATATTTTATTCAATTAAGAGAAAAATACATGATTTTTTTAATTGTATAATTTGTAAAAAAAGATTCACGAAGTTTAATTTGTATCTATTTATTGATAAGGGTTTGGGAACTAACGCTCCTAATGCTAATTCGGCTGAATGGGTTCATCAATTCAAAATTCTGTAAAACTAAAGCTTATATATACAATATAATTTAAAAACGGTTCATTTTTCATTTTTCTCCCGTCAATTTATCTTTAACTCATTCAATCTCTCAGTCTTCCCCCTCAACTTTTCATACTCCTTTTTTGCTCGTTAAGTTCTTTTTATATCTTCAATAGCAGACGTGTTTTTGTAAGGTAAATAAAAAAATTAGCAAAGTGTAAAAAATTTATTAGATTTAATTGGATTGTAATTGTCAAATTTTTTCCTTTGATTTTTGTTTTTCATTAGTAGATAAAATTTTTTTATTGTAATTCCTTTTCTTTCACCAAGTAATTTGTAGATTTCCACCATCATTTTACTAAAGGGAAATCTGAATACCATTCAATCCTTTTATCAAACAATTGCTTGAAATTTTTCCATAGATTTTCAATTTCTTCTGGATATTTTTTATTGTTAGAGGTTGGTTTGATTTATCCTTGGAATTTGATTTTCCTTAGCTCTATTTTATTGATTATTTTTGATTTTAGTAACGCTTTGTCTGGTTTTGTTACAAGGTGACCAGTTGGATATTTTCCATAACGATTATGAAGTACAAATTATCATTTGGGGTATACTGCAACAAAACCAGACAAAGTGAACATTGGTATTACCAAGAATTTCAGGGATCAAAATTTAGTAACGTGATTATTAAAATCTTCCATTTGTTATCTTAAGTGATATATAGAACTATCCCTGTATAAAAATAGTTAAGATGAAACTCATTTATATCAGATCTACTATGAACCCAAGAATTATAGCACCATTAGAAGTATTTTGAAGAAGGAACAAGGTGAAAAAATTGCTCCTTATATTTTTAAAATAAATGACACTCAAACACTGGAAGCTTATCTAAGAAAAGAAAGGATCACTTATGAAATTTACCAAGAAGAAAGAAAAATAATAAATGCTAAAAAAAGAAAGCATCATGATGATGCATTATTACCTAATAAAAAGCAAAAATCATCAGAAGGAAAATAAATACCATTTTCTTTGATAGTTGGAATTAATTTCAATTTATACAGAAGAAAATTTCTTTAAATTACTTTCTTATTTTCAATCAAGGTCATTTTTTAACTTCGATTTGAGCAACTAATTGACCATTTTGTTGTTGTAATTGTGCTAATTGAACTTTTAACTTGTTGATTTCTTTTATTAATTCTTGATTAGTTAAGCCTTTTAGTTTTTCATTTTCTGCTTCTAATTGTTTAATCCTATCTAGCAATTCTTGTTTTTGCCTCTTGCTTCATTCTTCAGATTTCTCCTGAAACTTAACTACTTCTTCCCTTTCGATTTCTAATGCTTCTTCAGTCTTGTTTAGTTGTTCTTGTAAGGAGTTTATTTGCCTTTCATAAAAAGCAGACTGACTTACTTCTTCATCAGGTAAGAGAGGGAGTTCCTTCTCTTCCAAATCCTCATTGTTTCTAATACAGTAGCAAACATTCTTACCAGTAGTAATATCAAAATCTAACTTGGTTTGCAATCTACCACATCTATTACACTTTAACAATTCATCATTTCAATACTTTTCTTCACACCTTTCACAAACCATGTCATCTGAAATTCATTCCCCAGTTACTTTGCTACGAGCTCTTATTTGATGAATGGATTTATTATTTTTGTTTTCAAACTTAGAGCAGAAATCACAAGTCTTTTTGTTTTCTTTTTCCAATTCTAAAACTGTGTATTCCAGTTCTCTCATTGCAATTTACTTGTTATTTAGACTTAACCTCTACTCGAGCAATCATTTCTTGGTTGTGAGATTTTTCCTTTTTGATTAACTTTTGTAAATGTTGAATCTTAACTTTTGCTTTTGTTTTTAACTGCTTAAATATGCTCTGTTTAACTGAAGTCTTGTCTTCTTCTTCTATAGGTAAGGCGGGTAAAGGTTTATTATCTAAGTCGATCAAATTCCTCAAATTTTCATTTTGTGTTTCACTATCAGTTAATTGCTTGCTTAGTTTTTCTATTTTTTTGCTCTTTTGACTTGATTCTTCTTCCAACTTTTCAACTCGGGCTTCTAGATGAGAAATCTTTTTACTAGCACTATCGAGTTTCTTGTTTTTTTCTTTTATATCTTCTGCTTGAGCTTTACTCCATTTTTCACCAACTGCTAAGATTTCCTTAATTTGTTCTCTTTCCACTTGCACTTCACCTTCCAATTTTTCTACCTCTGCCTCTAAATCTTTAATTCGTTCAATCTTGCTTCCTATAATATCTTTAAGAATTATATCCTTAGCTGGTTTGCCAAAAATTTCACCTCCTTCTTCTATTCGAGAAAAAATATGAGCTCTTTGATTTCATAGTTTCCAATCTTTTTTCAATTCAGTGGCTAGCTCAGTGCCTTCAAAATGATCTGTAATAATTCTTTCAACAACTTTTTCTAGATTTTCTTTACCTTCCCATTTATAGTCATGCATAAGGCTATGTTGAAAACAAACCTTCATAAATTGATTTCTTAATGGCTTGCTAATCAATTTTCTTAGATCTTGTTCAATATTCTTGCTACAATGAGGAAATCTTTCCCTCATATCTACCAATATTTGGTGAATTCTCTCTGTTGCTTCTTGCTTAAATTCAACTTCCTCTTCTTCACTTACTTCTCCTAGATTTTTTAATTCAGTAATCTCTTGTTCTTTATTGGATAATTGCTTTTTCAATGTTTCAATTTTGTTTAATAATTCTTTATTTGCTTGTTGTTGTTCATTTATAATGTTTACCATGATTTTTGTTAATGAATACTTAATATCTTTCTTTTTATAAAAGCATTATTAAGTATATAATTATTTTATTAGTTTATTTTTAAATTTTCTA